TAGATCATAGAATGAAATAAAGTGATGCTGAAGTCAGTATAGCAAGTTTGGTTCTGTTATAGGTGTAACACCACTAATTCGGCCCGGCCAGAAAGCACATACCAGAAAGTAGTACATATTTAACACAAAATAGTTCCTATGCATGAGTGTAGCTTTCAAAATATGTAGAATATTTAGGTATTGTTGGTATCAAATGAAAGCTGAATGACTGGTGATCATTGTAGAACACTTTTTGACTTATAATTTTGAATATTAAAAAAACTGCACCAAATTTTATAAAGAGGGTACTTTTTGCCTGTATGTCAGATCTGAAGTACCTGTTTTGGTACATCCGAAGTTCCGGGAACCAGTTCTTTCTTATATGCCATTAAAGGTATGTTGATTTTTCCAGTACAAGACACCATAAAGTGTTGCTTTGACATGCAATGATTGTCACTTTATTTGAACTTGAAACAAAAGAGCTGTGTCTGCTTGAAATTGAGGAATTTAACATAGAAAGCAATGGGGCCATGAATTAGTGGTGTACTTCCTATTACAGAGAATCATCAGAAATTCAATTTTTAGAAGTTGTACCTATTCCAATGAAAATAAGTCATATTTGATGTAAGTTAACATGTTTAATCATCTTTTTTTGAAGAACAATTCTGTTTATGGGAAATTTCAGCTCTTAAATTGACATAATCAGATATTTTAGCCTTTTATGGTCACACAACATGCATGCAGTTAAGACTTGACTCCAAATTCTTATTTTTGCATTATTTGGGATTGCAATCAATAAAACATGTATATAATGACTTGTTTATGGTAAAAAAATAGCTCTTGGTCAAATAATCCTATGATTTTTCAAGTTTTATTGGTTTTCTTATGATAGCCTTTTACAATCTAGGCAATTGGTATATACTCATATAAGAATTCCAAAATCTCACTGTACATGCAATTTTGAACCAGTTTAGCAAGTTATCCAGCTGAAAAATATATAAATTGCCCTTTATAATCTATGTTGTACCACAGAAGTATGGTTTATACCAAAAATGTCCCTTTTCCAATTTGAAGAAAAAAGGGGGGACAATTTTCTCAATTATGTCTTAGGTTTGGTCTAATATATTTTTATTAAATGAACAAACTCTGGTAAATTATGACTATTGGTAAGCACATTGTTTTCCTAACAGAAATTATTAAATACAACAATGATATTGAGAATAAAATAAGTATATTGGCCATTTATAATATCCATATGCAGTTTTCTTTGAATAACCTATATGTTACTACCAGTCCAATTTGAGCTTAAAATTAGTAAAATAGTATTTGGACATAAGCTTTATGTGTTTTTTATTGCTTGAAATAGATCATAGAATGAAATAAAGTGATGCTGAAGTCAGTATAGCAAGTTTGGTTCTGTTATAGGTGTAACACCACTAATTCGGCCCGGCCAGAAAGCACATACCAGAAAGTAGTACATATTTAACACAAAATAGTTCCTACGCATGAGTGTAGCTTTCAAAATATGTAGAATATTTAGGTATTGTTGGTATCAAATGAAAGCTGAATGACTGGTGATCATTGTAGAACACTTTTTGACTTATAATTTTGAATATTAAAAAAACTGCACCAAATTTTATAAAGAGGGTACTTTTTGCCTGTATGTCAGATCTGAAGTACCTGTTTTGGTACATCCGAAGTTCCGGGAACCAGTTCTTTCTTATATGCCATTAAAGGTATGTTGATTTTTCCAGTACAAGACACCATAAAGTGTTGCTTTGACATGCAATGATTGTCACTTTATTTGAACTTGAAACAAAAGAGCTGTGTCTGCTTGAAATTGAGGAATTTAACATAGAAAGCAATGGGGCCATGAATTAGTGGTGTACTTCCTATTACAGAGAATCATCAGAAATTCAATTTTTAGAAGTTGTACCTATTCCAATGAAAATAAGTCATATTTGATGTAAGTAAACATGTTTAATCATCTTTTTTTGAAGAACAATTCTGTTTATGGGAAATTTCAGCTCTTAAATTGACATAATCAGATATTTTAGCCTTTTATGGTCACACAACATGCATGCAGTTAAGACTTGACTCCAAATTCTTATTTTTGCATTATTTGGGATTGCAATCAATAAAACATGTATATAATGACTTGTTTATGGTAAAAAAATAGCTCTTGGTCAAATAATCCTATGATTTTTCAAGTTTTATTGGTTTTCTTATGATAGCCTTTTACAATCTAGGCAATTGGTATATACTCATATAAGAATTCCAAAATCTCACTGTACATGCAATTTTGAACCAGTTTAGCAAGTTATCCAGCTGAAAAATATATAAATTGCCCTTTATAATCTATGTTGTACCACAGAAGTATGGTTTATACCAAAAATGTCCCTTTTCCAATTTGAAGAAAAAAGGGGGGACAATTTTCTCAATTATGTCTTAGGTTTGGTCTAATATATTTTTATTAAATGAACAAACTCTGGTAAATTATGACTATTGGTAAGCACATTGTTTTCCTAACAGAAATTATTAAATACAACAATGATATTGAGAATAAAATAAGTATATTGGCCATTTATAATATCCATATGCAGTTTTCTTTGAATAACCTATATGTTACTACCAGTCCAATTTGAGCTTAAAATTAGTAAAATAGTATTTGGACATAAGCTTTATGTGTTTTTTATTGCTTGAAATAGATCATAGAATGAAATAAAGTGATGCTGAAGTCAGTATAGCAAGTTTGGTTCTGTTATAGGTGTAACACCACTAATTCGGCCCGGCCAGAAAGCACATACCAGAAAGTAGTACATATTTAACACAAAATAGTTCCTACGCATGAGTGTAGCTTTCAAAATATGTAGAATATTTAGGTATTGTTGGTATCAAATGAAAGCTGAATGACTGGTGATCATTGTAGAACACTTTTTGACTTATAATTTTGAATATTAAAAAAACTGCACCAAATTTTATAAAGAGGGTACTTTTTGCCTGTATGTCAGATCTGAAGTACCTGTTTTGGTACATCCGAAGTTCCGGGAACCAGTTCTTTCTTATATGCCATTAAAGGTATGTTGATTTTTCCAGTACAAGACACCATAAAGTGTTGCTTTGACATGCAATGATTGTCACTTTATTTGAACTTGAAACAAAAGAGCTGTGTCTGCTTGAAATTGAGGAATTTAACATAGAAAGCAATGGGGCCATGAATTAGTGGTGTACTTCCTATTACAGAGAATCATCAGAAATTCAATTTTTAGAAGTTGTACCTATTCCAATGAAAATAAGTCATATTTGATGTAAGTAAACATGTTTAATCATCTTTTTTTGAAGAACAATTCTGTTTATGGGAAATTTCAGCTCTTAAATTGACATAATCAGATATTTTAGCCTTTTATGGTCACACAACATGCATGCAGTTAAAACTTGACTCCAAATTCTTATTTTTGCATTATTTGGGATTGCAATCAATAAAACATGTATATAATGACTTGTTTATGGTAAAAAAATAGCTCTTGGTCAAATAATCCTATGATTTTTCAAGTTTTATTGGTTTTCTTATGATAGCCTTTTACAATCTAGGCAATTGGTATATACTCATATAAGAATTCCAAAATCTCACTGTACATGCAATTTTGAACCAGTTTAGCAAGTTATCCAGCTGAAAAATATATAAATTGCCCTTTATAATCTATGTTGTACCACAGAAGTATGGTTTATACCAAAAATGTCCCTTTTCCAATTTGAAGAAAAAAGGGGGGACAATTTTCTCAATTATGTCTTAGGTTTGGTCTAATATATTTTTATTAAATGAACAAACTCTGGTAAATTATGACTATTGGTAAGCACATTGTTTTCCTAACAGAAATTATTAAATACAACAATGATATTGAGAATAAAATAAGTATATTGGCCATTTATAATATCCATATGCAGTTTTCTTTGAATAACCTATATGTTACTACCAGTCCAATTTGAGCTTAAAATTAGTAAAATAGTATTTGGACATAAGCTTTATGTGTTTTTTATTGCTTGAAATAGATCATAGAATGAAATAAAGTGATGCTGAAGTCAGTATAGCAAGTTTGGTTCTGTTATAGGTGTAACACCACTAATTCGGCCCGGCCAGAAAGCACATACCAGAAAGTAGTACATATTTAACACAAAATAGTTCCTACGCATGAGTGTAGCTTTCAAAATATGTAGAATATTTAGGTATTGTTGGTATCAAATGAAAGCTGAATGACTGGTGATCATTGTAGAACACTTTTTGACTTATAATTTTGAATATTAAAAAAACTGCACCAAATTTTATAAAGAGGGTACTTTTTGCCTGTATGTCAGATCTGAAGTACCTGTTTTGGTACATCCGAAGTTCCGGGAACCAGTTCTTTCTTATATGCCATTAAAGGTATGTTGATTTTTCCAGTACAAGACACCATAAAGTGTTGCTTTGACATGCAATGATTGTCACTTTATTTGAACTTGAAACAAAAGAGCTGTGTCTGCTTGAAATTGAGGAATTTAACATAGAAAGCAATGGGGCCATGAATTAGTGGTGTACTTCCTATTACAGAGAATCATCAGAAATTCAATTTTTAGAAGTTGTACCTATTCCAATGAAAATAAGTCATATTTGATGTAAGTAAACATGTTTAATCATCTTTTTTTGAAGAACAATTCTGTTTATGGGAAATTTCAGCTCTTAAATTGACATAATCAGATATTTTAGCCTTTTATGGTCACACAACATGCATGCAGTTAAGACTTGACTCCAAATTCTTATTTTTGCATTATTTGGGATTGCAATCAATAAAACATGTATATAATGACTTGTTTATGGTAAAAAAATAGCTCTTGGTCAAATAATCCTATGATTTTTCAAGTTTTATTGGTTTTCTTATGATAGCCTTTTACAATCTAGGCAATTGGTACAGTCCCTGTAACGTAAAAGTTAACACTTTTTTCGTTCGGGAATCGTACGTATATCGTACGGTCATCGTTCGTATAGCATTCGGGTATCGCCCGTACAACGTTCGTTTAGCGTTCGTACAACGTTCGGTCGTCGTCCGTACATCATTCGTTAAGCGTATGGTATATGGTATCGTTTAGCGTATGGTATATGGTATCGTACGTTTAGCGTATGTTATATGGTATCGTTTAGCGTATGGTATATGGTATCGTTTAGCGTATGGTATATGGTATCCTAAGCGTATGGTCATTATCGTTTAGCGTATGGTATATGGTATCGTTTAGCGTATGGTATGTGGTATCGTTCAGCGTATGGCATACTTGTCGTTTTATTAGCGCATGGTTTATGGTATCGTTTAGCGTATATGGTGTAGCGTTTCGTTTAAGGTACTTTGTGGTAATTGGTTGTATTAGTAAAACCAAATATACCGCTCTTCATTGTGAAGATTCGTTGTCAAACAAAATGAGGCTTTCACTGAACGTAAGACATCAAATTCTTCATTACAAAGCTCAAGGTTTATCCTGTCTTAACATTAAATGTGCTCTTGAGAAATGTCATGGTGTGAAAACAAGCCGGGTGTCAGTTTGGAAGTTTATAAAGAAATTTACGGAAACTGGAAGCATCCATGACAAAAGTCGAAAGGTAGATAACCGATTGAAAATAAGACCAGTGCACAGACGTTTAATAGACTTTTGGTTGAAAGAAAATAGTGAAATGAACTCGACAGCTATTCGTCAAAAACTGTTGTATCATTTTAAAATTAACATTTCAAAAAGTTACGTGTGTCAAATAAGACGTTCACTTGGATGGAGAACTCAGAGATGCAAATATTGCCAACTTATCAGTCATGTTAACCGACGAAAACGGGTGGACTACGCACTGTGGGCTCTAAGAACTAGAGAAACTTTTCTAAATGTGATCTTCGTTGACGAGTCATCAGTAGAAATGAGTGCTGATGGGAAACTATATTTCTACAAACCAACATATGGCATGCAATACATTGAAGCCAGAAGACAGAAACCAAAACATGCATATAAGGTAACAATAATATATTTCTCCTGTCTAAAGCTACTGATAATACTTAATCTAAAAATAAGGAGATTTGGTATACTATATTAACAGAGAAATATAATTATAAATAGATTATCGTTGGTTATCTAAACGAGATTGATTTTCTTGCTTGAGCCGGTAAATCCTGGTCCATCCTGCCAGAATTAGGGGTATATACTTTAATTCAGTCAAGGACCCACAAAGTCGTCGGTGTGCTCTAGTGTAATTTTTAAAAAACAACTCATTTTTTAGTAATGCCCTTGACTGTCTATCATTCTTACTGTTGTCAATGGTTGTATTCTATATTGCAACAAACTCACTTGTGATCCATTGTAATCTCTTTCAACTACAATGTAAGATGAACTTTATAATGTTATAGAATAGTGTTTGTAAGTCGTTAACTTTATTGTTCAAAAGCACTTTATACCTATATGAGCCAATGGCATGAATGGCTAATAAAACATTAGGCCAAACAAAAAAGTATACCATATACATGTGTGTTTACTGTCACATACTGATGAAAAAAATAGGGTAGGTAGGTAGGGATTTTTTTTTATTTTCATTTTTTTTTTACATTGAGCATGTTGAGTCTATGGCATTTGTATGGGAGCAACATTCATTGACATTGTGACTTTAACCATTGTTAACAGTGCTTAATCAAAAATGGCCCAAAAAACTTTTGGGTAGGGGATAAAGATTAGGGTAGGTAGGGGTACAGTAAACACACATACTTTTTTGTTTTGCCTTATACATGTATGATATACAGCATGTACAGTATATATATATATATACACAAATCTAAATTGAAAACAACGTTCACCCTATGATTGCGTTGGATAAAAACTGCAATTTTTATACGTGTGCATGCAAAACAAATTTCTTGTTAGAGGGGTCTAAATACAGCACAAACAACATTTTCCAAAAGACCAAAAAAGTGAAAAAGTATATTTTAACAAAACGCAATTGACTAACAGGTCAATATGTATAGATTATAACATGCCCTTTTCCATATTGGCCCTGGTATCATCCCGAGACTCCCATATCGGCCTCTGCTTTAGCCGAGGGCCAATATGGGTCGAGGGATGATACCAGGGCCAATATGGAAAAGACATATTATAATCTATTTATCACATATCTAAGTGCTGCAGAAAAGAGAAAAAATTTCAATTATAACAATTTAATGAAATATAACAGGTAAAATCTTAAAAATTTTATCACAAAAGTTTTATCACATTTTCAAATTTAGTTTTTATCATTTACTCCATAGAAATTTATTGTCACATTTCCACTTATTTCGGAATTTGGAATTAGGGCAGATTTGCTCTACAAAGTCTGCCGTATCGCTTTCCTCCACTGCGATGAAACGAGAACCGTCATTGTTCGCCATTGTCGTTAAGGACGTAATGACGTCACGTCATTTGGAATCAGGGCACAATAACCATTAACATGATTAACCTCTTTTTTGCCCTGGGCAATTTTGAGGTTATTACATATGCAAAACCCAACGTATTCGTAACAAATATGTGATAAATATATATATATATATATATAAAACATGTTGTACAAAATGTATATTCAAAACATGTTAAAGTTAAGCTGCCAATCTATACGTTTTCGTTTACTTTCATTTTAGGTCCATGTTTGGGCTGGAATCAGCTATAGAGGACGTACACACATTTGTATATTTAATGGTATTATGGATTCTGTAATTTAACAGCATATTTTAAAAGACAATTTTCTTCCATTTGTTAATAGTGTATTTCCAGATGGATATAGATTATATCAGGTAATTACTTTTAACATGTTTAAATATGTCACAAAATTTACAGTTTAAATACATGAAAAATGGGACATCAGAAATGATACATCATGACATCATAAGTGTTTGTATACATTTTGTATGTCAGGACTTGTTGTATTCAGGGGGAATCCAGCCTTTAAAAAGGGATGGGGGATCCCAACCCAGGATAAAGAGAGGGGTTTCAATCACATGTCCAAATTCAAATGAATTGATTGTCCAAAAAAAGGGGGTTCCAACCCCTGAACATGCTGAACTTACCCTCGATTCTTCATTTGTTGTTTTGTATTTGTCAGATATTTTTTTATATTATTTTTTTTATTAAATGTTTACTTTCATATTAGATATAAGATTAAGAAGATGTGGTATGAGTGACCAGCATGACCGGATTGACCCAACTCTACATCTAAGTCACAATTTCTAAAAGTAAACCATTATAGGTCAAAGTATGGTCTTCAACACACAGCATTGGCTCGGCAAGCTATAAAGGGCCCAAAAAATTACTAGTACATGTATAAAACATCCTAACGGGAAAGCCAACTGTCTAATTTATATAAAAAATAAGAAACGAGAAACACTTTTAAACAACATCAACAAACAACAATCACTGAACATCATGAACATCAGGTTCCTGACTTAGGACATGTGCAAACATATGCAGTGAGTTTAAATCTTTAAATAAGTACTAACCTTCACCCTTACCTGAAACAATAGTGAAACATCACAACATATAAAGACACACTATAAAATATCAATTGAAATGGCTTAACTAAATCAAAAGACATGTTAACACAAACAAGAGAATATACACTGAACTAATAAATTTGATCTATGACACGATGTACAATGTAAAAACAAAATCAATAAAAATATGCGGTGAGATGTTAAACGATTTTAGAAAGACAACCATAACCTTGAACAAAATGCTACCAAAAAGAATAATGTTTAAATTTCACGAAACATTTTGGGCAATATTTGACCATCAGTGTCCCATACATTATAAAGATTAAGATGGATGCTAAGTGAACAGATCATACAAGTATTATTTTTTTCATAAAATGGTTGAAGTTGTTGAAGTGTATGGACAAGTATGTTCCATATTATCATGATTATGTTACACATACTCCTATCTCAACCAAATTATCAATTATGTGTAAGCTAAAATGTGAATAGTGTACTGTAAATTCAGAAATTATTGCATGTTTTTATTAATGCGAATAATGCGACTTGGTGATGATCGCAATAATAAGAACTCGCATTCTGAAATCTGATACATAAATCTGTATGCAGATTTTCCTGAAATCGCAATAAATAATTTCACATTTTTGGCCATTTTTCTAAAGTTGCAATAATAAATGCACGCAATAATTTCTGAGTTTACAGTATTCTAATTGAATTTTAACATATTTGTACATGTTGTTGTTTCAAAATTTTATTCATAAAAAAAAAAATCACATTTCAGGATAATGACAGCAAACATTGCAGTAAATCAACTAAGGCATGGATGACTGATAATCATATGATTGACAATGTTATGAAGACACCAGCTTCTTCGCCAGATTTAAACCCAATAGAGAATGTGTGGTCTTCTATGAAGCAATACCTTCAGAATGTAGCTAAGCCAAGAAAACGTGATGAACTTGTCAATGGAATAGTGGACTTTTGGGAAGGACTCAGTGCTAATCAGTGTGGAAAATATATTGACCATATACATAGAGTTATACCTCATGTCATCCTAAATGAAGGCGGACCTACAATGTTTTAAATGATATTTGAAAGAGAGGCTGCTGATGTGCTGTTTACATTTGCAGCAACTTCTGGTTTTACATGCTTTACATACTGTCAATTGATTGTCCTATACGTTTACAAGACATTCTTCAAGTTTGTTCATAGGATGAAGCCATAATAAAAGTTAACAGTTATCAAAATCTTCATTATTTGGAATTTGCTAGTTTTGAAAAGGAGTATAATTGGTATATATTACATCTGCCTTATTTAAATTTCAAAGAAGAAACATTTCAATTGACATATATACATTTTTTGGAAGTACAATACTTTTCAATGTGATGATGAGTCTCAGAGTATCCTGGTTTGTAATTGGTCTTTTAGCCATGTCTGTTTCTGTAATGTCCAATATTAAAAAAGCTTGTGAAAATCAATAAATACATGAAATACTCTTCATACTTAATTTTTCATTTGTATACACATGATACATGACGGTTGAACTACCGTCTGCATGGAGATCATTTTAACCTTTATTCTGTTCATGAGACTGTGGTTGAGGTTCATATTTTGACGAGTAACTCTTTTACATATACCTATGGGGGATGTATTGCTAATAGATACCTTATGTTTCTTCATATGATACAACACATTTTATGGAATATTTTAGTCAGTATTAAGCCCAAGTATTTATTTCTATGTACGATTTAAACTTCACATGTAAAAGAGAAGTGAAGGATACCAAAAGGACATTCAAACTTGAAAATAAACTGAAAAAGCCATGGCCAAAAAAGAAAAGACAAACAAACAACAATACACAAAACACAAAATAGAAAACTAAAGATTTAGCAACACGAACTCCACTCTAATACAAAAATAGATCATTGTGACAGCAATCTGACAACTATCAGAATAAAAGAGCAAAAGTATGTAATCAACTAGGAACTATATACATGATATAATAACAGGTGTATTAAGATTTAAATTGTAAGAACTTGAGACTAACACATTATATAATAAGAATAATAGCCAATGCCTGTTACGAATTGATACAAAAATAAATATTATAACTATATTCACTTCTGAATTAGACTCATAGTATTGTGTATGTGCCTAGTCCCAAGTCAAGGCCCTGCAGTTCAGGGTCATTTGTTACTGTTCATATTTGTTTATCATTTGTTGTTTAGTCTACTGGTATATTAGTCCATTGGTTATCTTGTTTAAATGTATTATGTCAGGGCTAATTATTGATGTGTGGTTTATATAAGAGTTTGACTCATTTTTGTCTTGCCTTGACAGAGTCAAAAAGCAAGACATTGGTATGCTGTTATTGGCGTTGACGGCAGCGGCGTCAACAATGTATTAGATTGTGATTAGGTCTAGTTCATTGTGAAACACTAGTGGTAGGTCAATGATATTTGGTATGCGGTTGTATTTGGATTGGCACATTTCATTACCATGGAGATTATTTGGCCCCACCCCCCTCAGTCAAGGTCTATTGACTTTGAAACTTTTCATAGTTTACATGTATTAGTTTGTGATTAGGTCAATTTATGGGGAACCACTAGTGGTATGTCAATAATATGTGGTATGCAGTTGTATAAGCATTGGCATATCTCATTTCCATGGAGATTATTTGGCTCCGCCTCCTTAGTCATGGTCTATAGACTTTGAAAATTTTGCTAAGTTAACATGTATTAGTTTGTGATTAGGTCAGTATAAGGGGAACCATTATTGGTAGGCCAATGTTAATTGGTGTACAGTTGTATAAGCATTTGCACATCTCATTTCCATGGAGAATATTTGGCCCCGTCCCTTCAGTCATGGTCTATTTACTTTGATACTTTTGCTTACTTTACATGTATTAGTTTGTGATTAGATCAGTTTAAGATGAACTGCAAATGTTAAGTCAATGATATTTGGTATGCAAATTTATTGGCATTTGCAAGTATCGTTTCCATGGAGATTATATAGCCCCACCCCTGTTCATGGTTCATTGACTTTGAAACTTTTACACAGTTTACAAGTTAATGTTTGTGTTTAGGTTTGTTTAAAGGGAACGACTTATAATAAGTCAATGGTATTTGGTATGCAGTTGTATTAGCATTGGCACATCTCATTCCATGGAGATTGTTTAGCCATGTACCTTCAGTCATGGTTCATCGACTTTGAATATTTGCATAACTTACATGTTAAAGTATTGCTAATTTAATTTCAACATTTGCATTATCAAAATTACAAAAAGGCGAGACATATCTCTGTGATAAAAGTTTATTGAATGTGGTATGATGAGTGTAGCATGTGTGTTCATATCTAATTCATAAGCCCTGTGTTATGTGAACCAAATAAACAAACAACAAATATCACAGACAAAAGAAACCCTTCCACATCATGAGCATAGGGTTTGTAGTCTTGTTCATAGCAAATATTGCTGAGTCAGATATTTCTTTTGTACATTTAGGACAATAAATTTAAGAGCTGAATAAGTTAAAAATAATTTATTTGTAGTCATATATACATGTATCTAATAATTTATATCACTTTTAGACAAACAAAATAAATTAAAACATTCATCAAAAAGAATTTAGTGCATATTGATAGCATTATCTGATTTACTTAATCATGTTACATTGTGTTAATGTACTTCATTAAAATACCAACAATTTCACAAAATATTAATAAACACATCTCTATATACACATGATACATGGTATATACATTCATTACACTCGTTTATAAATCACAGTCACCTTGGTCACTTCAACATGCTTTTATATCACGTTTAGACAAACAAAACAAATTAAAACCTCATCAAAAATAATCTTGTTCATATTGCTAGCATTATCAGATTTACTTTCATTAAAATACAAATTTCACAAAATAGTAATAAACACATCTCTCTCTATATATATATATACACTCATTACATTCAATTGTAAATCACAGTCACTTCAAATTAACATGTTCAATCTCACAATTTTGTTAACATGTAACACTATCGTTCTGAACGGAAGTTACGGATTCCAGTGTTTATACCTGTTATGCAGGTTTGAAGATTCTCTTGACCATAAGTGTCAATAATGGCATGTTCTATGGCATGGCGACGTCTTGGTGACAATGGGATTTTTCCTTTGTTACCCCAGAAGTTTCTGCCAATAATTTCTTGTGGTGAAAAAAGCATCTTCACAAGGTTCCAACCAAAGTTCCTCGGTGATACAGAGTCACTCATTACTGTGCGCACTTTGTCAGGTTTAATCCGAACCTCTGTGTCTGCAAGAGCAAGTAGCAAATCAGCTGGACTTACAACTTCTAACAGTGCTCCACTAAAACATTGGGTAATTGTCTTTGTTTTACGCCATGATACCTCTTTGCTAGGTCTACTGTTAGACAAGTTCGAAATTGAAATTGGTGATGTTTCAACAAGTGGCAGTATGGTTGTAGGAAGTGGTGTTAATGATGATGTTCCTGTTAAAGACTGCATCTGGCTAATTGAGACTGTGGTAGGAGATATGTCTGTTGATACAACAGTTTCTGATGCTGATGGTTGCATGGATTGTGTTGTAATAAGTGTAGTTGGTGCAACAGTTTGACTGGCTAAAGATTGTATGGCTTGTAACGTAGAAGACAAAACATCATCGGATCTAAAGGTTGTTGGTTGTGTTGATTGTTTGGCAATCTGTCTAGGTCTAGTAAAGGTGGGCATAGATGTTTCTTCATCTGATGATAGCGCTTCTAGAGCTGGCGGAGATAATATGTCACTCGAGACTGCTGGCCGATCAATTGACTCTGTTTGCTGTTTTGCCTCTTCAGATGATGGGTACTTAATAATGTACTTAATTATACTTTGTTGATCTGGCTCATTGTTATCTAATAGATCAGGTATGCTGTTTGTTAGGTTGAGAATATCGCTGATATTTCCATCATTCTGTCTTCTTAGTATTTGGAGTATGGCGTTTTGTGTGTTTAACAGTTCTTCTAACTTTTTTTCAATGGTGCAATTTATAGGTGTTGACTCTGGCATGTCTGTGGTCTGTGTAGACATTTCATGGCTTCCTTTCCTGAGCTGACTAAAAATGACAGAAGGTTGTGTCTGTGTCGGGGTGGTTGCATACAGTTTATCATGTTTATTGGAGTCAGATGGTATTTCTGGTGTTGTGGTGTTAGATTTTGGTTGTTCTTTCATGGCTTGTGAATAGTAAGAAAGAAATTCCTGTGTGTTGGTAAAGAGCAGAACATCCTCTGTTTGTATAAATGCAGATGTATGACTTTTACTTTCTACTTGGTTTGTTAATATATCTGTTTGGTCGACTGTCAAGTCTTCAGTGAAACATGGTTTTCTCTTTGGTTCAATAACTTCACCAGGTGTTTCACCACTTCCTTGGTACAAAACCGTTATTTTTCTTCCATTTGTGCCCTGAAAAAAATATAACTGATTAGTTATTGATTAAATTATAATGAAATATAACTGATTTGTTATACTAAAATAATATACCTGAAAAAAATTTAACTGAATATTTATAATAAAATAAAATTTTCACACTGTCAACAAGGACCAGTCTCTATAGTCTATAATATTACATACTTCATTAATACTCTTTAATCTGATTATTTTCCTCATATATATAGATTCAAAAATGGGCAAAAATAATTTAGATGTTTTCTCTAAAAATTATCTCCAAATTTGTAAATTTTCAACCAAAATAATTTTCTTTTGACATTTTAAACGTCATAAATGTTTCACAATATTTCAGATTTTTTTGAAACAAAAACAATCCTTTAAATACCATTATGTCTACCCCCATTTTCACTAAAATTCAAATTTGACACAAGAAATCAATTAACAGTACAGTAACAAGATATCAATTTTGAAATCTTGTGTAAAATGAATGGGGAATGTGTCAATGGGACACAGATGATGCCCCAGCTTGCATATCATATTAAAGTTATGAAGGGACATAACTGAAAAACGGAATAAGTGACACTATTTGAACTTGATCTGAGTTTTGTGGTAATAAATATTGTATGCAAGTTTCATAATATTTTGTTACGACAAACTTAAATTTATCAAGAATGGAAACAAAAAATTCAACATGTTTTTCCATTTGTTAAGGGCATAACTCTAGAACAGTTTAAATGACACCACTAAAATTCAAACATGATCTGTATTTTGTGGTTATAAGTTTCATAATATTTGGTTGAGTCAAACTAAAGTGAGAGAACAGAAGCGAGCAATTCAGTAGTGTTTTAAATTGTAGAACAGTTTAAGTTACACAACCAAAATTCAAACTTGATCTGTTTTTTGTGGTAATTAGCATTTTGTATAAGTTTCATAATATTTGGGTGAGGCAAAGAGTGAAATAATGGACTTGAAATATTCAGCATTTTTTCCATTTGTAAAGGGGTATAACTCTTGAACTATTAAAGTGACACCATCAAAATCAAAGTTAATCTGTGTTTTGTGGTAAGCAGCATTGAGAATAAGTTTCATTATATTTGGTTGAGACAAACTAAAGTGAAAGAATAGAAGTAAAAAATTCAGCAATTTTAGTAATAAATATGGTTTTTACCACAAAACATTACAATTCCATACTTAGCCTAAACATGCTAAATGGGGGCTTTAATCATGCTCTTTCAAATACTTATGTCTAAATTGTCAGGATTGTACAGATAAAGATCACTGTTGCATTTTAAAACAAACTTCATTATATAATGTTTTTGTAGAAATTAGACGAGATACTCCTTCAAACTACATTTGTATGCTTTAAGAAAATAATAAAATGCTTTGCCATGCACAGCCTGATACGACTGCATAGGTCCAACCCTGAACAGTTGGGGCATATTTGGACACCATGTTCAAGCTTGACACTATCTGAATTTGGATTGTGATCAAATTTTTGACATAATATAGGTTTCTGACACAAAATAAAAGTAATCCAAGATCTTAATAAAATGCTCTGCTGGGTGCAGCTTGATACGACCGCAGAGGTCGAACCCTGAACAGTTGGGGCAAGTATGGACACAACATTCAAGCTTGATACAGCTCTGAATTTGGATTTTGATTAAATAATGACCCCTTGGACCTCAATGTAGACCAATTTGAAAACGGGACCAAAAATTAAGAATCTAAATACACGGTTAGATTCAGCATATCAAAGAACCCCAATATTTTAATTTTTGATGAAATCAAACCATATCATTATTATTTGCTTTTATATATAAATCAAAAATATCCAACTTAAAATGGAAAATTTTTTTTAGAACAAAAAAATGAAAAAAAAAATCCCCGCCCCCCCAATTTTTTAACCCCCTTATGATTCATACACTTACACACAAGTTATTGTCATGAAACTAGAAAAATGCTTGTTTTTTGCCCCTTTTTTGCCCCCTAATTCCTAAAATTTTGAGGCAATTACCCCCAAAATCAATCCCAGCATTCCCTTTGTGATATGGAACCTTGTGGTACAATATCAGAGAGATCCATACACTAACACACAAGTTATTGTCTGATAGTTACAAAAATGCTTATTTTTGGCCCCTTGTTCCTTAACTGTTGGAACCATAACCCCCAAAATCAATCCCAACCTTCCTTTTGTGGTGTTGAACCTTATGGTAAAATTTCATAGAGATCCATTCACTTAAACTAAAGTTATTGTGCAAAAACCAATGTGTCTTCGGACGACAACTACGCCAATGTCATACCAATATACAACCGACAAAAAAAATTCCGGTTGTATAAAAATCTATTGCGCAATACTGTGCAATTGAAGATTTCTTCTTGAAACTTTTCAAAAAAATATTTGAAGTAAAAATATGGAAAAGTAGAATAATAATGCTAATTGTGGCCTAGTCTGGTAAAATTTGTCTCAGTTGTTTCAGGAGAAGACTTTTGTAAAAGTACATGATATAACATAACTTTGTTGTCAAAATTTAATCATATTCTTTTTTTTTTATGTTATCATAAAAGATACTACCATAATTGTGCTTTATAATTAAAAAAAAAATGTTTCAAAATTAAATATTATTCAAGTAAAAATCTTAACTAATAATTTCCAGTTAATAAACCCTATTCAGACATCTGATCTACCTTAAATTATATTTTAATATTTTAATATTTATCATCTGTTTAATTTGTTTCTTTTTTTCTTCATTTGGTTAGATTTTTGCTAACAGTTATCCACCTTGTTGACCTTTGATTCCTTTTTGGCAAGCCCTTGAAATGAAAATCAATTCTATTTTTGATGGTAGTTAACTTACCTCTTTTGTTTTTGGAGATAACCGTCTAATTTTAGTTGGTCTAGTATCTTCATTGTCTGAATCTGCTTCATGACTTGCAGCTGCTGGCTCTTCAGGTCTTACAACTGGTATCTGCAAAAAATGTAATTAATATATATATATATTTGTAATAACATGAAACAAGTACGTGTAGAACTAAGATCAAGGTTATCAAAATTCCAAATACTCTAACCCCAGAGTGAATATTTGTGGACGCCGGCTCTGACAACCCAATTTAGGATCACTATGTCTCGCTATTGCAACAAAAGTCGCAGGCTCAACAAAAATCACAACTCTATACCTGAAAGTTAAGTTACGGTAGATAGATATATTTTCTCTGAGACAAGTTCATTTGTGAATGATGAATAATTGACAGGGAATTCAACCTCCCCATAATAACTATTATACTGTAGTGATATTATTATTTGTTATCAGTTATATTCATATTTGTATAATAGCTATATAAAATGTTCATATATTTGAATACCATTCTACTGTACTCTTCTAATGATAGTTCAGTGCAAGTGTGTGGTGGACACTTTTCTGTTATATTTTGTTTTTCTAATAGATTGGATTTGAGTAGGCATTCGTATTTTCCAGCATTTGTTACAAATTGTTCTTAAGATATTCTTCCGCATGTGTTAACACAACTTTTCGGTATTATTGATTTGTTAGATGATATATATATTTCTCACAACAGAACATTTTCATATCATTTATCTCTGTTTTTAAAAGTTACTTTCAAGAATATTTATCGATAAAATTTGTATATAACAAGCAATAAGGAATGTTATTTTGCACACGATAATATCTGCACAATTATAACAGTCAAAAACGAATGTCACATGGGTAGAAATGTCTGTGGCAACAATACACCAGAATGCTCTCATGGTCATCCAATGTAAAAACAAAAGAGACAACGACAGACGACAACCGGTGCCAAGCGATGGCATAAGCTCACATGGGTCCCTTCGGACCCCAGTGAGCTAAAAAATGTGTTGATTATGAAGGAGACGGATAGCTGCTTAACATTCAGTGGTAAATAACACCCCTATTCAGGATGCACATTCATTATATGCCTTTCCTTAATCTGGAACAAGTAGTTCAGTGGTTGTTTCTGGTTCATGACTGTCATGTTATATTTGTTTTTAATAAATTGTTTTGTTATATATTAATGTTGTAAGGTATTTGGTTTAATAAGTGTCACATCTTTCCTGCTGTGCCTTTGACAGCAAATTATATGGTATGGGTTTTTCTCATTATTGAAGGCTGTACATGTACATTCAATTGCTTACATTTGCTTCATTTGGACTCTGGTGGATAGTTTTCTCAATGGCAATAATACCACAACCCTTATTTGTACATATTTCAAAGTGATACGAATATGAATCCTTAGAACCTTTGAATTAGACCAACACTCAGCTGTATGTTTAATTTGCAAATCAACAAATACCCTGTCACATCTGATCTGTATTTCTATTGGATACTTTTTTGCTTTGTATCAAATATGATTTTTATAGTTTGTTTTTATGTTTTACTGAAAAATACACCACTGTCCCAAGTTAGGGGGAGAGTTTGGTGCATTTCATTCATTGTTTTGTACATAAATCAGGTCAATCTATTGATTAATTCCTTATAATCATTTTGATGCCTTCTATCAATGTCTATTGCTTATTATATGTTAAAGGTTTCGTTTATTGCTGAAAGTGATACTGCGACCTATATAGTATTTGTTACCTTTTATGTCATTTGGTCTCTGGTGGAGAGTTTACTCATTAGCAATCATACTACATCTTCTTATTTTTATATTTCTCTTAATTTGACTTGTATAAATGTATAACACATATGTCATCTTTTTTTTTTTAAAGAAACTACAACCATGACAACAGGCTGCCACTAAATATCAGCCCTCAAAGTGTTATAACTTACTTGTTCAGTAGTGTTGTCAGTTTCTTCAGGCCAGATCTTTAGATAACCACCGTACAAGTTCTGATTGGAATCATGTCTTATGTCTTGTTCTTTTTGAATGGAAATGGCTCTGTGAGAATTCAACCAGTTGCTTTCAAAATTATTCAGCACTGATTTAGTATCTGAAAATTTAATAAAACATTATTTAATCAAACATTCAAGAATAAATAGAATGTAAGAAAACAAAAAATATTAGAGTTTATAAATGTGATCACAAGTGCCACCACTAACAAGGTATCGAAAGGTAACCATGGTAACCAAAATTCAAAATTGATGTGACATGAAATTTATATATATATATATATATATATATATATATAAATATCATTGTGCTTAAACCTAAAAAATATTTGTCAGGCAGAACTTTCAGCAAAACCATGAAGTTCAAATTTGCAATAAATTTCTAGTTGCATGTACATTTGTCTAATGTCAGGAACTTCTCTTGGGTCAAGTCTAGGAGAACATAATTATTTATTAGTTGTAACTGATTTAAACAATTTGTCCTTATGTTGTGATGTAACACCACTCTCCTAGCATGCCTAGGTTAGTGTGAGGGTAAAGCTCACAAACATGTTAAACTCCACACGATTTTGTATGTGTCTGTCACAAATCAGATGGTAGTCGTTAGTTCATATCTGGTCTACATGTATTTTTTCCTTAATTGTTCTGTTTTAATTAAGCTGTTGGTTTCACCCTTTTCATATCAGGACTATTACAGCATACTACATGGTATGGTTTTTTTTCTTTGTCGAAGGCTGTGTGTTGGCTTATCATTGCTTTATATATCTAAGTCAATTGAACTAGTGATAGTGGATGGTAGTCTGATTAGCAGTCATACAACTCGAGGTGACGTTGTTTCTAAGCTTGTAAACCGGGTAAAAAGGGTTAAAGTTTGATCTATTTACATCTTGTGATGGTTATTAATATCTTATATGCAATGAAATGTTATGCGATATTTTCACTTAAGTCATGTTAGTACTGGACAGGATAAAACTTTACCTGGGTCATTTTTAGTATTTCTTTATTTAAATCAAAGATAAAAACTGCACAATTTTTTTTTGAAAAATTCCAATTTAACAAAGACTACTACTAGGGGAAAAATAATGGCAGTATTACTCCTTTAAACAAAATCATTAGTGTGAACGCTGAAAATGTTTTAATAGATTATGGACCACAGTGTCAGGGAATTTGAAAAAAAAGATGATGCTAGCTGACTGATGATTGAAAAACTCATAATGTGCCTACCAATTGTTTTCTGTGATGAAAAATTTGAATTTTAATAATAATTACCTGCTAACTCTAACACTTCAGCAAGAAAAACACCCTTTCCAAAGACACATTTTACTTGGTCTGCTTTGCTGACAAGGTTGACATCACTTATGTTGGAACCATCTAACTTTTTCAACTTTTTAGTCTCACAAACAGTAGTAAAGCCATCATGGTCAAACAACAGGAGGGTCCACTTTAATGACATTTCTGGAAGAAAATGAATATAACATATAAAAATTGAAAAATTAGATTTAAAATTCAAAATGACAATTTTATTTTCTTTTCCAATATCACATAATATAACTTATTGACAAGCAAGTTCTGGTAAATGCTTCGAACTTGATCTATATTTTATGGTTATAAGCATTGTGTTAACGTTTCATAACATTTGTTTGAGGCTAACTAAAGTTAGAGAACAGAAACAAAATAAATGTGGATAGTGTCCACATGTGGACACAGATGATGCCCCCGCTTTCATGGCATATATTTATAAAGGAACATAACTGAAGAACGGTAAAAGTGACGCTACCCAAATTTGAACTTGATCTGAGTTTTGTGGTAATAAGTATTGTGTGTATGTCTCATAACATTTGGTTGAGCATGTTGAGGCTAACTTAAGTAGAGAACAGAAACTAAAAATTCAGCAATTTTTTTTTTGTAAACACACATAACTCTAGAACGGTTGTGTATAAGTTTATAACATTTAGTTGAGACAAACTAAAGTAAGAGAATGGAAACGAAAAATTCAACAATTTTTATGTTTATAAAGGGACATAACTCAAGAATGGCAAAAGTGTTCTCACCAAATTTCGTACTTAATCTGTATTATGTAGTAATAAGCACGGAAACTAAACATTTGCAATTTTTCCATTTATTAAGGGCATAACTCTAGAACGGTTAAAGTGACGCCACCAAAATTCAAACTTGATCTGTGTTTTGTGGTATGAGTTTTAAAGTATGACGTCTATTATTACTGAACTAGTATACATTTTTGATTAGGGGCCAGCTGAAGCACCCTTCCGGGTGCGTGATTTTCTTGCTGCATTGAAGACCCATTGGTGGCCTTCAGCTGTTATTTTCTCTTTGGTCGGGTTGTTGTCTCTTTGACACATTCCCCATTTCCATTCTCAATTTTAATTTTTATAATTCTAGAAAGGTTAAAGTGACATCACCAAAATTCAAATGTGATATATGTATTTTAAGTGAGAATATTAGCCCAACTTACGGCTTTAATGGGAAGGGAGAAGATATTATTCGAAGTACATCTGATGAAAGATTTTTGACATTTTTTAAACAAATTAGTATCTACTTCATTCGACTCAATTGGTTATTGTAAAAGATTTTGACATACTTGGTAATTAAAAATGCTTGAATTCAAGCATAAATATGAAAAATCATACCACTTAACGTCAGTTTTCAGATGTTTTTTATCTAAAATGGAAGTGGCCCGTTTCATGTTCACTCTCAACATTTATATATATGTAACACTCAGAAAAGTGTCCTTCCCCCCAAAAAATGTCCACATGATGTCACTGAACTGGAAAACATTGTCTAGTTGTAAAAGGTACCAAAGCGTATCATTTGTATAAACACCCAATTGTGTCCATATCGATCAAGCTTATTTTTTTTATTTTACTGGAACTATCATTCGTGTCCATATTGTAAATATGTAGGTTATTTGGTTATTGTTTTTTCATTAACGTATATTAATTTTACTATTCATTAAAAATTAAAAAAAAATATTTTAGGTCTTTTTTAAAACGTCAGTATCAGTGGCGGATCCAGAAATTTTCATGTATGGGGTCCCACCTACTGCCTAAGAGGGGGCCGCTCCAGTCATGCATCAGTGATTCCCTATAAAATCAACCAAATTTTTCCAAGAAAATGGGAAAGACCCCTGCGCATTTAAACCTATAAAACAGCCTCTATTACATAACTGAGATTGAAGTAATTTCTTACTGAAGTCACAAAAAAATCCTGAATAACTGTTAAAATTTAGGCCCATTCCTATATTCCCTGTATGATAAAAGAACCTATCTACAGTATTTATTGTTAACATGATGTTGTTCAAATAATGCATGAAATATTTGGTACTGGACATTATGTCTCTTGTTCGTGTGTCTTTAGTGATATTATCGAAACCTAAAATTTATCAAAAAACCTGATAACCAGTTTATGATTTGAAGAGCTTTTAAAATGTCTGTTCGGCTATGTAGGATGGAACTGTAAGCAGCCATGTTCAATTAAATTGTAGATATTACATCAGATAAATTGTGTAGGGAGAATTTTCCTGTCTCTGCGCATTAAAACCTTTGTAGCTTTTTACTTTTTTATGGTGCCATCAGTTGTAATTTGGAAGGCAACCGTAAAAATTTAGGCACTACCCTGAATTCAAGGTATGATAAAAGAACCTATCTACAGTACTTATTGTTAACATGATGTCGTTCAAATAATGCATAAAATATTTGGCACTGGACTTCATGTCACTTGATCGTGATGCTCAGAACCAAACATTTTAAAAACAAGAGTGCACACGCTGAAATGTCTCGCCTTCTTTACTAATCATTGATATTATGTTGATAGTCCTAAAGATAAAGCTTTATTACAACTGTCACATAAACTTAACATTAACCAAGTAAACTAAACATTGACCAATGAACCATGAACCATGAAAAAGAGGTCAAGGTCAGATGAACCATGCTAGGCAGGCATGTACAGCTAACAATTCTTCCATACAACAAATATAGTTGACCTATTGCTTATACATAAAGAAAAACAGACCAAAACACAAAAACTTAACACTGAGCAATGAACCTTGAAAATGAGGTCATGGTCAAATAAAACCTGCGTGACTGACATATAGATCATAAATATTTCCATACACCAAATATAGCTGAACTATTGCATATAGTATTAGAAAAAAAGACCAAAACTCAAAAACTTAACTTTGACCACTGAACCATGAAAATGAATATACTAGACCTATTGCTTATAGTATCTGAGATATGGACTTGACCACCAAAACTTAACCTTGTTCACTGATCCATGAAATGAGGTCGAGGTCAAGTGAAAACTGTCTGACGGGCATGAGGACCTTGCAAGGTACGCACATACCAAATATAGTTATCCTATAACTTATAATAAGAGAGAATTTAACATTACAAAAAATGTAAATTTTTTTTCAAGTAGTCACTGAACCATGAAAATGAGGTCAAGGACTTGTGACTGACGGAAACTTCGTAACATGAGGCATCAATATACAAAGTATGAAGCATCCAGATCTTCCACCATCTAAAATATAAAGCATAAAGAAGTGAGCTAACGGCGCCGCCGCCGCCGGATCACTATCCCTATGTCGAGCTTTCTGCGACAAAAGTCGCAGGCTCGACAAAAATCCTGATGGCCAGTTTATGATTTAAAGAGCTTTTAAAACATCAGAACTGTTGACAAAAGGGAAGTCAATTCTGCTAAGAGCGTGCCGTGCAATATTCGGATCAATATAAAGGGCATCATCTGAGTTTTATGGTACAAAATAATTTACATAGTAAACGATTATTTTAACTGTACTAGAATTTTTTGTATGTTCGCTTTAAATGAGCATGAAATACTTGTAACTGGACAATAAACAATTTCAGTCAAAAGATAATTCATATGTTACAGATTAAATTTGCTATAACGCTAATCATTAACAACCAACATTGAACACACTAATGCTAATAAATAACCACTTCATAAACTGTCTCCCCATAATCGAGTTGCTGTAAACGTTATTCATTTCATTTAGGACATACATGTATTAGCGTGAGATGTTCTGGCATTTAATAGTGGACACGTTTTGGCTAATAACAATTATTGGACACGTTTAGGGGTTATAAAATCGGACATGTTTGGGCAATATTAAATATTACATGTTTGGGGAGAATAGACACGTTTGGGGTAATAGGACACTTTTGGGGGGATGGACACGTTTGGGAGGGTTACATATATATTATGTATTATCATTAAATAAAACATATATTTAAATATAAAGATCCCACTACCATTTTAGATAAAAATAGCTAAAAATAGCACAAATGTTTAAATTGTAATGATATCAGTATTTTTTCATGAAATAATGATGCTAGTACATGTACCTGACATGTCTGAATTATCAAAAACAGTCCATATTTATATAACAAATGCATGTAACTTTCCAATAAATAATAAAAGTTAGCAATTTAACACATTTATACAAGCATTATATTTTGGGGCCAAAAAGGGGTCTTACCAGCTTACTCCTTTAATGTTGAATATATATAATTTGCATGTAATGTCTATTTTGTGTAACTTACTATTTAGTCATGTTAGTACTATGGTTCTAAAATAAATTCTGATCATAGTGTTAACTTGGTTGTACCAATTCTGGATAAATTGATCTTGTAATATTTGTTAAATGTATAAAATAACTTAAGAAGATGTGGTATGATTGCCAATGAGACAACTCTCCACCAGAGACCAAATGATGCACAAGTTTTAACAACTACTGTATGGGTTACAGTATCATAGTATGTTTCAGAACCTCAGGATTTCCACCTTCTTGTTGGTGCCTTTTATTTTTAAATCCAATGTCATCAAAAATATTTTCAATATAGGTACATTTCTTACCGATATAACATGTTACTTTTATTATTCTTCCCTTAGTTTATTTATTTTGTATTCAAAATTATTTATTTGGTAAAAATATTTCCTTTCTCTATTGGTACTGTATACGTATACCTAACAACAAAATTATTTTCATTTACCTGTGTTTAAAGTTATTGCAAATGGATGGTATTTTTGTTCGAGCATATTGTTTTTCTTTAATTGTTTAACTTTTCTTACCGATATCACATGTTACTTTTATTATTTTTCCCTTAGTTTATTTATTTTGTATTTACATTGTGTCATAGGTCAAATTTATTTGTTCAGTGTATGTTCAATGGTGTTAATATGTCCTTTGATTGAGTTAAGCTATTTCAGTTGATATTTTATAGTGTGTCTTTCTATGTTGTGATGTTACACTATTGTTTCAGAAAAAGGGTGAAGGTTTGGTACCATTAAAACGTTTAAACCCGCTGCATTTGTTTGCACCTGTCCTAAGTCAGTAATCTGATGTTCATGATGTTCAGTAGTTGTCGTTTGTTGATGTGGTTCATAAGTGTTTCTCGTTTTTTATATAGATTAGAC